TTTTGTGTTAGAAATTTGCTTCAAATAAAGAACAATGCAGCAATACGAGAATCACGCGAAAGTATTTTGGGGGACATTTCCATGCTTAATAATGTGCTGTAAACATTTGATGATAGACAATTTCGATGAAGTAAAGGTATTCAAAAGCAATATTCCTCTGTCGAAGATCGGTTGGTGGATGTGAGCTACGAAATAAAGAAATTCGAGTTCAAAATCAAATCGTTTGATTTTTGCGGCAGACGTCTGACGTGCGTCTTTCATGCATCTCGTGAGATCTCGCAATTGTACGGGAAATCACCTATTATTATGTGTTTATCACGTGCAATCATACATGTACTGTATTTTACCGTAGCTATGAGGTGCACATCTCTAATGGGAAGCACACCAACAGTTGAATTCAATGTATGCTGAATCATTTAAGTATAATACAGCAAATACTGGGAATCCTCAACAAATTCAGATAAAAAATTTCAATACCATACAAGCTCCATTGGAAACACACATCTGTAATACAGTCACAGTTGAGCCAAAAACTTCAGGTTTCAGGATGATCTTTTAGTCAACAAACATGTACTGAATAATTTATACTAGTCTGACATGGTGGGGTGAATTAGGCAGAAGGTTTTTAACCCGCCTATTCACATAGTTCATACCCACAATAGACTCCGATCAGTCAAAATGACTATTTTGAACTGTAGACATTAATCTGCGATTCAGCCAATGATGTAGAGAGACATCTAGGTCAGGGGAAGCCCCATGAACCGCAGATTAATGCCTACATTTCAAAATAGTCATTTTGACTGTTGTGAGTCTATGGTGGGTAATTGAACGTAGTTAATTGGCGCCCTCTGCCAATGGCTACAACCCCACACACACCTGCCAGAATGCTCTATTTGCTTCTTATCTCTGACTGCACCAATCAAAATGCACCAATCAAAATGCACCAATCAGAATGCACCAATCAGAATGCGTTAATCAGAATACGCCAATCAGAATGCACCAATCAAAATGCACAAACTTTTGACTTTGATAGCCATCATAGTTTGGCCATCTACAGATATATAAATCTAAATTGTCATGTCAAGTTTAAAAATTAACAATTTCTACGACATAGGCATGCAGACTTACCGCTACTACTACCATCCAGTGAGTTCAAAGATTCATTTGATCCAGCAAAGTATCTAAAATATTCAATAAAAAACAAAAAATAATTACCACCTTAAAAAATATTTAGAAAGAGCAAGTAAGCATGTACATCCCATTTTTTTACATTCAGTTAAATTTTAAGTATCTTATGAACCCAAAGGACAATTGATTTTTCAAAATGGTCCATTCATTTCTTGAGGGGTAGTTAGGTAAAAAGAAATAGAAAAGAGTAAAGAGTAAAACCTGCTTGAAGGAAAATATCTATACACGCACAAGTCTCTCAGTGACATTAACAAGAAAAATAACACTTTACTCAGCAAAAAAAACTCAATAAAATAAAAAATCTGCCTGAATAAATACCCTATAAAAAAATAAAGGTAAATTCCTAATTGAATTTTCAACTTCCTGACTGGTAAACTTCAGCCATTCTTGCGACAAAGGGGAACATTATTTCATTCATATTTATGGAGTACATGTCTTAACTGTAGCAGGTGAAGGAATTATATACTTAGTTACCTACATGTAGAGTTCACTGATAGCACCCAGTAGAAATTGCAAGTTATGTGGTTGTATAATGTAGCACAATATTGGAATAATGACATATTAAGAATGCTAAGGAAAGTACCATAAAATCTGTATTAGAAGCTGCATCCCTAATTTGAATAATTGAACCATTTCTCATTTGTGTAGATTCCTCTAATAGAAGCCGCATCCCCTCTGTTGCATTGTATCATTTTAATAGAAACCGTGGCTTCTAATACAGATTTTACAGTACTCAGATGATATCATGTGATTAAGGGTACAGATCAATGATTATTTAAGCCTAGAGGAAGGCAAGAGATATAGTTTCTAACATTTGTTGTTTTTTTCGATACAACTATCAACTGCTACAACATAATTATATATCAAATATATATCATAACATACATATATATCAAAATGTGTCAGCATAAAATTATAGCTACCCTAAAATGATGGTCCTCAAAAAAGAT